ACGGTCATGAATCGGGGACCATCACTGAAAAACTTCGAACCCGGGTACAAGCTGCTGAAATGGGCTTTCTCAGTCGAGTCGCTGGCTTTAGGCGTCTCGACATGGTCCGGGATAGTGACATCCGGAAGAGCCTTGGAATACAGCCTTTGCTTCTCCAGATTGAGAAGTCACGGCTGCGATGGCTTGGGCATGTGTTGGGAATGCCTCCAGAAAGGAAGGCTAAGCAACTGTTCCTTGAAAATCCGATTGGCAAAAGGCCCAGGGGACGGCCAAGATTAACCTGGTGCAAACATATGGAAGAAGTCTGTTCCAGACTGCATTTGTATTTTGCCGAAGCTCAGACTCTGGCACAGGATCGGGAACGTTTGAAGTTCTCTGTGATGCGTCTGCCTCAGCGACTCGAAAGGAGAAGCGCAGATGGAAGATGAAGATGATGACATATGTATATACATGTAATCATGAATAAAGTACGTGATTTCTGTAAACGAGGGATGATATGATGCTTTGGTAAGTCACAAGCGGGAAGACAACGGTCATCGGACTTTACGAACCATGCTCGGACCGTCTTCAGAGTACAATGAGAAAGGCACGTAATATTTTCTTGTGGGTCTGGTTGACTCGCATGATTAATAGTGCCGCGTTTGCTTTCTGGTTTTCAGCAGCCGCCTGATGTTTACGATCCATGAGTCGCTGACGTCTGTTCCAATGTCACGGTTGATGCAATTGGTTACTCGGATCAATAACGCTTCCTTGTTTTTGCGTGAAAGATATTGTTGTTCTCGCGCGGCACCTTTCATTCTGTTTCCCATTATACGTTGTGTTGGTGGGTAACAATATATTCCACAATGGCAGAATTTTTTTCTCATTTTGCCTTTATAATGCCAGGTTTTTTTCTGACGCGATTCTTCATGTAGTCTGTCTTCGTTTCTTCAACAGTGTTATTCGTTTCGCCTACGCAAACCATACCACAGGAGCACCGGGGTTGACAGACCCAGCCGGCTTTCTGCTCCTTAGGTTTCTGGATCTTGAGGTGGCTTAGTCGGCTACGCAGAGTAGCACCAGGTTTGAATACCAGGTTGCGTCCGGACACCCTTTGCTTTGATGAACTTGCCAAGCCTTTGTTAAATACTTCATCGGATAGCCTTTATGGTTTAGCATCAATCTTATGTGTTTTAGTTCTCAACGAAAATCATCATCAGTTGTACATATCTTCCGGTCTCTGTGGAGGAGTGTACTGACGACACCTTTCTCTACGCAATGTGGATGATAAGATGAGTGATGCAGATATTTATCAGTATGTGTCTTCTTGCGGAACACCATGGTGAAATATCCTTGCTGGTAGTGTCTTACTTGCACATCCAAGAACGAGAGGGATACTTCTTTCTCCATGGTGAAAACGACGAGGCTTGGGAATAGGCTGCTCAGTTGTTTCAAGAACAACGTTTCACTTCCAATTTTATAAAGAGCAAATATGTCATCAACATACCTTTTGAAAAAGGTTGGATAGGCATCTCTGTCACTCGTAGTGAAGGCCAAGTGTTCTAAATGTTCCATAAATATATCAGTCAGGGCAGGGGACAGAGACGATCCCATAGGATTTCTCTGAACTGACGATATAGATGGCCATTGAACTAAAAGTAATTGAAACCAATGAGACATATCCGAAGTAGCTTAAGAATCAAAGTTGTGGAGAAAGGCGTTTTGTTCTCAAGGTCTAGATCTTTTGCCAGTTGTTCTTCGACTAGGTTAATTACGATTTCAATATGGATACTGGTGAAGAGGTCCTTTACATCGTAGCTCACGATAATTATATTCATTTTCAAAATTCTTCTGGATTTTTGACAAATTACATTCAGTCGAATTTCGCCTGACTATAAACTATCCGCTGTGGTACTCAGACAAAGTTCTCACCCTTCCAGTGACTTAATGAAATTAGTTGGGAAGTTGTTTGTGGCCTCGTTCTGATTATTGATAGAATGACTGTGGATTTGCGACTTTCTGAGTAACGATGGAAGTCGATGAGAGAACAAAACTGTAAACAACTTAGAAAAATGGCACAGAGGCCCTGCGAAAAAACGATTCATAACACGAGGCAAAGAAAAACAAAACGCATTTCTAATGCGTCGATAATGAGGGCGATATTTGCTTAGTTAAGCGTGAAACCGTATAATGGGATTTTAGAGAAGTTCGGCGAGATAAGTCTACGACGGATTTGCCCATTTAACTAGTACAACGTAGAGCAACGACGAAGGTTCATCGTGGAACGACGTTTGGCCTAATATCACCGAACTAATCCTTATCATCGCGTTTCGAATATCATCTTAAATGATGGATTAAGACTAAGGATTTGGGCACAAACAACCACCGTTTGCAACTTCACGGCAGTGAGTAGGTTGCAATCTTATGACTATCTTGGTAAGGGTAAAAATAGTATGAATGGCTTGAGAATGGCAAAAACCAAATAATATGAGAAGAAAGAGTGATTGATGACTAAAAAGAATTAAAATTTAAAATGATGACCGATGATTGATTTTGTCGATCAATCGAGTTATAAATGTCCGTAGAGCCAGTGCCGTTAAATCATGTTTCTTGCAGAGGAAAATTCGTTGGAAAATTTACACCGAAGTTCGATTAAATTTCGAAATTCAAGCCATTAGTGCTCCGGCGGAGATTTCACCATAAAAAATAGAAAGTACGGCAAACTATCAGCTATTTGCTTAACCGATCAGTCGAAGACTACGAAGACAGTCAAAAATGACTTCATTCAAATACCTCCACGGACTTCAGTTATCTTCGTAGGATGTTTAGGGGCTGACCAGGATCCAGAAAAGTTGGAGACACTGTTTGACGCTGCCGTCTCCTGAATAGAAAGGATAAGCGGGCATAAAAACTGACTGACTAGTCTACTTGCCGACATTCCTCACAGTTCATCATCATCAGGTTTTCTTGACTCATTGTTGAACTAATTCCTCCACATGATTTTATCTCTGTCCAAATGCACCTCCTATCCATTCGCCCAAAAAAACATCGATTTCATCTCGACATCAATATGGAGACGTTTTTCTGGACCGTTTGCTGTCGCTTGGAATCCTAATACAGTCCATATTCCCTTTGTTCCAGCGACAGTACATTCTTCTCGCCATGCATCCAGTGCATTGCAG